CCACCTGGTCCTGAATTAGAAAATTATTTTGCTACATTAAAAATGTTTTTCTCTTTTAAATATCTGCAGAACTCTACTTGGTCTGACCATTTATTCCCAATAGGGTACCTTTAAGTGTCTCCTTTTTCTTTTTCTTTTCTTTTTTTTTTTTTTGAGTCGGCGTCTCACTCTGTCGCCCAGACTGGAGTGCAGTGGCCGCTCGCGGCCACCGCAGCCTTGACCTGCTGGGCCCCGGCGATCCTTCCGCCTCAGCCTTCCGAGTAGCCGGAATTACAGGCGCGCGCTACCGGCTGTATTTTTTGATTTATTGTAGAGATGAGGTCTCGCTGCCCAGGCGGGTCTGGAACCCGCAGGCTCAGGCAATCCACTCACCTCAGCCTCCCAAAGGCACGGGATTACAGGCTGAGCCACTGAGCCCGGCTTGTCTCCTTTTTCATTTGGCTTTCCTCCTATTTCTTTTTCTTTTTCTTTTTTTTTTTTTTGAGTCGGAGTCTCACTCTGTCGCCCAGACTGGAGTGCAGTGGCCGCTCCCGGCCACCGCAGCCTCGACCTGCTGGGGTCCAGCGATCTTTCTGCCTCAGCCTTCCGAGTAGCCGGAATTACAGGCATGTGCTACCATGCCCGGCTGATTTTTTGACTTATTGTAGAGATGAGGTCTCGCTGCCCAGGCGGGTCTCGAACCCACGCCTCTGCCTCCCAAAGGCACGGGATTACAGGCTGAGCCACCGAGCCCGGCTTAATTTCACATTTCTAATAGGTAACTGAATTAGGATTCACATTTAAGTATACCTGTCTTCAAAGTTTGTCTTTTTTGCACTTGATACTAGTCTTTAAGATATACATATATTGTTCATTGTTTATCTGAAATTTTAAAAAGATCTATGTATATTACATCACTATCTAAGATACATATTCTTTTTGTTTCTTAAAAAAAAAAAATAAGCTTTGTTGTTTACACTTGGTCTGTAGCCTCAGAGTTTATGTTGGTTAAGAAGCTGCCTGTGGGCTGGAGACAGACACTCAGGCAGAAGCACCAAGGCCGGGGAGCTGCAGTCGGGCCTCACAGGGCACCTGGGTGGCTCCAGATGTATTTAAGGTTGAGCCTTTTTTTTGAGTTGGAGTCTCACTCTGTCACCCAGACTGGAGTGCAGTGGCTACTCCCAGCCACTGCAGCCTTGACCTGCTTTGGCTCCGGCGATCCTTCCACCTCAGCCTTCCAAGTAGTTGGAACTACAGGCGTGCGCTACCACACCTGGCTAATTTT